TTTCAATGCATTTTCGGCCTTAAAGCGGCCGCCATTTGGCTATCGTTAATGAGATCATGAAACAAATGCACATACATATTTGTGACATGATGTACCTTGTGTGTGTGAAGTTTGAACTCGATCAATCCAAGCATGTCTCAGATACGGATCCAGAACTGAATTCTTTAAAACAAAATGGCCGCCAGTCGGCCATTTCGAACCCGATCCAAAAAAAAAAAAGACGTGCATCAAGGTCCTATTATGTTTAATGTATGTACCAAATTTGAACAAAATCCGCCCATGCATAACTGAGATCCGGGTCCGGAATGGTGAAAATGTGCGATTTTGATGCATTTTCGGCCTTAAAATGGCCGCTATTCGGCTATCGTTAATCGGATCATGAAAAAAATGCATGTGCATATGTCCCATATAATGTGTGATGTATGAGTGAAGTTTGAACTTAATCGGTCCATGCATGTTCGAGATACAGGTGATCACGGACGCACGGACGCACACAGGGCAAAACATAAGTCCCCGTTTTCGGACTGCGTCCGAACGGGGACTAAAAAATTCGAAGAGCATCCGGGAAAATATTAATAATCATTTTCATCAATCGCTTGCGTTATTTTATTCGAATCCATGAAATTCACGAGTTTTTTTACATTTGTTGGCAACTTTCGCGCTAAAAAAAGATTGAAAATGTGGGTGCGGTTCTTTTGCGAGGTCCTGTTGATAATACGGACAAATATGGTTCTGTGACCCAGGTCGGCTCCGATCATGTGACTTTCAGCCAATTAGTGATGTTGTAACAAAGCATATTTGATGCTAAGTGAAGGGTCGTCGTACCATCCAATTTCCGGCTTCGATTCACATAATGTTTTTGTGCTGTGACAGGCTTCAAAATTATTAGCTGAAAAACATTGGTATATTTTGACAAACGGATGGAATTTGACCTTAGTTCAAAAAGAAAATACTAGACTGAGATACATTAGAGTCCACGGCGAATCAGTTTTCTCTGCAAGTTGGGAAATAAAGTAAACCAGAGTAGAGTCGATGATTTTCAGCCCTAGGTGACTTCCGTGTGAATCCTGAGTTTCGAATTGTTCATCGATTGGCCACCAAATATTTATGGCTAACTAAATTTGACACGTTTTTTAAGCCCAATAAATTATTCATACATGTCAAGCTCTGTCCGACTTTTTCAGGGCATGTGGCCGTTTTTAGTCGAAAAAAATTTATGTTTTGTATAGACTGAACTCGTTCAATGATTGTGACTTATTTTTGAAAATTGAATGTCAAATTTTACCAGACCGACCGACGTGGATTCAGTGGTATCGTTATTTTTGGAATTAATCATTTACATTTTCTCGTTTCTCTGATCTCTCAAAATGAGTTACCTATGCTTTTTTCACGTAACTGTCTCATTAAAACAATTTAAAATATTACATCTAGAACAAGCACCCAAAACACGTAACAAGAGATCACATTCCAATTGCTTTCACGATACAAGTGTCATACAACTATTAGATTTGAATCATCGTTCAGAATTTAATAATAGTTAATACTAGTTGTATGTTTACACTTTACTATCAAAACGACCACTCATGTGCCAGTTTGGGCGAGCGGTCGGTGTTTCAATGAGCGAGCGAGCGAAAAAAAACGCGATTAAAATGTGGACGGTTTCTGGTCGGACAAGACCGCATGGTCGGAAATTAAGCGATCGATGTATGACCATGTTTCTCCGACGAAGTCTCGACTGACAATAATGCTGACAATGGACGTTAGATAAACACGCATTGTTTGCGACGGGAAGCTTATCACCCGTTATATCAGAATCGTCAACAACAGAGTATACAGATGAGATGTTATCATTTAAACCGTACCAAAGATAAACATTATGCAAATATCCACGAAACGGCAGTTGTAGTCTTTTCTGCTAGCGTTTTAAAACACTAATTTAAGCAACGTTATTTTGCAATTTCGATCTTTTGTAAACCTGGGATGATGTATCAAGGTCTAAAGTACTCGTTTTATCAATTTTTAAAAAATCAAGAAAAAAGTGAAAATTTCCCTTCTCGCTACCTTAAAGTACAAAATCTCTTTTAATGAGAACTTCTACATTACTTTTCCTTACACAAAATTAATTAAGTCAAAAACAATAGCAAATATAGCTGTGTTGTAGCAATGATGGTTTTCGAGCCCATGCATGGATTATTAGCAAAGCTAATATTATTGACAAGACATTGTATGGTCTTCTATCGTTACATGATAATGTACAATGTCTTCAAAATGTGCTGTGCTTCACTGGTGGAATGTCCCTATCTGTAACAGTGCTGGAAATAGTTATGCATATTTAATGAGGTCGCATGACCATATATGGTCATCTGATATGTTACAACACATCTCTTGTCCAATGGCTTCATTATTGTATTGGTTATGTGTCCCTTCTGTAACAGTGCTTGAGATATTACAGACAGAACAAACTGCATCCTCCCTCTCATGATGCTTTGCAGAATAAGAAAAAAATTTGAAAAAACATTCTACATTCTTGAAAACGACTTATTGCTCAGACTGCATTTTTGAAAATACATTCATATAAAAATGTACCAGTTGGTCTTTTAAAAAAATTTCAAAAAAATGGCAGGAGTATAACAATAAACAGAACAATTACAAAATGGTTTTGACCCACTTGGGCTTTAAACCCTAACAATTGAAGTATAAAACAATAGCAATTAGTGCTAACAACAATACCTCCTTAAAATACCAAGATGCATGGCCATTAGTAGTCATGTGCAGGGCTTATTAGTATTCCTAATTTCTAGTGTTTATATAGCCTCACCTGGTAACTCAAATAATTTACTATGCACAATATCGTCAATGCATATCATCTTCTGTCTGACTAATCTATCTGGCGGTATGTTCTCAATGAAAAACTTCAATAATTTACTCAGTTCTTTATGGTCATACACTTGCATTACTTCCGGTATGATAAGGGGTAATGACTTCAGTGCTGCTCCCTGTGTGTGAAAAACAAAACAAAAACATCAATAACAAAGATATGAAAGAAAATCCACCATTTGTCCTAGCAGACTTAAAGTCTATGTCATGTGACCAAGCTGCAAGATAATCTTATTTACTATTTCCACATTCTTGTATTAGACATATTTAGTAAAATCCACACTTCTATAAATTTACTTTTTATAATACTTCATGTATTCACAAACACCATGCAGTGCAGGTACACCACACTAGTTTACAATGTAGTTAGTTTACATATGTAGAAAAAACACTTTTAAATTTGAAAATACTCAATGCATTAACAAGTAGAGTTAAGATGGAAACTAAAAGAAGAATATTAGTAAACAATATTCATAATATTTAGATCAATTTAACTTGAACAACAGGAGGATGGCATTAAAAGTTTCAAGAAGTTTGTGAATATCGTGAAATTTCTTAACAGTGAAAATTTATCTGCTGTCCTACGACACGTAAAGCCATAAACTTTGATGACTGTTAACAACTTTAATTCAGAAAGACACAAATTTATCATTTCAGTCGGTGAAACTTTGTGAAACTTCTTTGCGGTCCTACAACATTAAGTGTCAGCAACTTTCATAAAATTTTGTCATTACAAATGCCATAAAATTATTAAATTACCAAAAAAATCTGGTTCACAGTGATATGTGTGCGTTACAAATATGATCAGAGAACAAATCACATTACAATGATAATGTGTATGTGGCTGGCTATAAAATTTTAAAATAGTAAAAAAAAATCAACTCTAACTAAAGCTGAGTGTTAAAAAGCAATGGTAACCACAATAAACATGCTTTTTGGCTGGTTGTGGCGACAGGTCATGTGACTTGTCAGTTGATCTATTGATATTAGCAACATTTGTTAGTTTTGAGCGGTGTGCAAATATGACAGCCAATGACAACTCACCTGGAGACATTCATGAACTTTGGAGTGACGTTCAATGTTTGAACGACGACACTAAATGAGCAAATAAAGTGAATACCAACAGAAAAAAAAAAGAAGTTGAAATGACGCAAAGAAATGATAAATGTAGTCATTATTATGGAATGGGGAAAAGCTGATGATATAAACATGCAATACACATCAAAGTAGAGATGCACACCCCTTCAAAATGTACTGTTATATGAATGGACATTCCAAATCAACCAACCAATTAGGTGAAGATGTTAAAAAGGAAGCTGTTATTCTCAGGGATTATGTAAGGCAATCGTAGGACACTGTAGTTTATGTTATTTACAATGTTAATCTGCA